GGACCTGACTTACACACATGTTGGACATGGAGAGCACCTGCAGTGCTGCTGCTGAGAAGATACAATTATGAAATCCTGCAGCATTATCACTTGTACTGCTTCGTTTTCACACAGAACAAGACCCCCCACATGCACACACACACACACACACACACACACACACACACACACACACACACACACACACACACACACACACACACACACACACACACACACACACAGCCTGAAGCGCAAAATACGGAATACAGAATATCAGCAGGGGGACAGATTGAGACGGAATGTCATGCGTCTGTGACAGTGTGTGTCCTGTCACTGTGACCCGATTGATCATGCGCCCTGGCTTCTTGGACAAGGGAGATCTCTGTTTGGCTGACTGGTTAGCATGTGTGACTTTCACCCGGGAGTCTGGGGATGGTATCCCGATTGGACCATTTTTTTCATATCCGCCACAGGTCTCTCTGAAGAATTCCCAACATTGACGGCTTCAGCAACGCTGTGCCACTCCGTGGATTTTCTCTTATTTGTTTTGCAAAAGTACTTCCTTTCATTTCTCCACCTCACCCACAAATACCTCAATTTTTGATTATGTGGAATTGCGCTTCCTTAATCTGCCTTGATCTACGGTCGCCATCGTCATTGGCGGAGCGTTGCAACAGCCGGCTTATGTATATGCATGAGATCCACAAGGCACTTTGCATTGACTATTTATGGCAGTAAGTGGGCGTGGCGAGGGCGGGATGTGACTAAAAAGCAGCTGAGAAACATTCTCGTTAGTCTCCGATTTATGAAGCGGAGATTGCGTGCAACTGTGCGTACTCCATGTTTGATAGATCACAAACCTACTTGGCGTAAGTACTTTTTTTTTTGCTGAGCTTAAGTTCGGTTTTAGTACGGATTCTACGCAATGTTTGATAAATGAGACCCCAGCTCATTAAGCCAATCAGTAAAAAGTTTCCTATATAAGGAACCCAGCAGGTTGCATCGAGTCACTGACTAGTGTCAGAGTCTTTAAAGCAATCCTCATACTAACCAAGCATGCAGCGACAGTGGAGTGAAAAACTCCCTTTTAACCGTAAGAAACCTCCAGAGGATCGTAGCTCATTATAAGCAGCCATCCACCACGACTCACTGGGGATGGAGAAGACAGCTTACGCACGCACGCACGCACGCACGCACACACACACACACACACACACACACACACACACACACACACACACACACACACACACACACACGCATACAGACACGCATCTACACATCACATGTACCAAGTAGTGTTTCTATGGCTACATTGTCATTTCTTAGTGATTATAAATTATATTATTAAGCTGAAAATTAGCTTAAATAACTCCGGATTATTGTTTTCTCTTTTCAGCAGAGCCTCATTCCAGCTTGCAGGACAGGGTGAGTTCATTTACCCACCAGACTCGTCAGAATGATTAATGCTGTTGGAGGTTGTGCTTGTCTTGTATATTCTGAGCTTTAAACAGATAAGTTGGTGTTTTTACTGTGAAAACAAAAGGACTGAACACTCGGCCCTGAGGAACTCCAGAGTCACAGTAAAACTGGCAAAGTTTATGTTTCTAACTCTCATCTTTGTTTTTGCAGCTGAGTACACATATCTTGAGGTATGCACACACACACACACACACACACACACACACACACACACACACACACACACACACACACACACACACACACACACACACACACACACACACACACACACACACACACACACTTTTGTTCACACACCTGTTCGTGCTGTTGTGTTTTGTTCAGGTCTCAGCCAGACGCCTCTGATCTGCCCACCAAGCCCAAACCTCCTGGTCCTCCTCCTTTTTCCATCAACAGGAGCAACTCTTCAGCCTGGGCCCCCCCCAGCAGGTCCTTACCCAGATCAGGTCCACCTGAATCTCTCTGTGACCTGATAGTAATCAGATCTGCTTCTCTTTACAGGGCTGATGGACCACCTGAGGTGAGCAGAATCCTGCATTAGATAAACCGTCCTTCATCTTTTTGTTTTCCTTCCCAGCAGCCAGACCTCGCTGTTATTTCCAGGTGGTTCTCAATACTTGATCAAAAATTTTCCAGAATTTTATCAGATTTTTCTTTTGTACATAAACATTTTCAGCTTCTAGGTGCTTATTGAGATTCCCCTTAACCCTCTGGAGGCAGGCGTTGCAGATTTGCAACGCTAAAACCTACATACCTGGTTACTCCACATACGTATTTCATGAGCATTTTTTAACTCAGAAGTACCCCTGAAGGACATAGTTGTTTGTCCTTTTATCAAAACTTATTTTGAGCCTGAGAGGGCTAATTAGCTGTAGCTTTATTGTCATACTGGAGCTTTCTAAGTTACTTTGGCAAGAAAAAGGTTGTAAATTTGTTAATTTAAATGTTGAAATTGGTCCTTCTCTGAGAAACCATGTTTTACTTATTATTTCTGATTCTAACGGGTCACCCTGAGTGTTTCATGCAGGCTGAACATGAAGATAGTCTCCTACACCTATCTCCTGCAGTAGCTTCTGATAAAAAAACAGACGGTGAAACTCCAGGATTAGAAAATCCTGACAGATCTACGTCACACTGTCACTAACATTCATGGACGCACCCATCTTGACTCACGACGAGGAAGGCTGTTGTTGGTTTAGCGTCTCAGCTAGTTGAAGCTAACGTTAGCATTAGCAACTCCACCACACAGCAGAACTCCTCTAGGCTTGTGTTATTTGTGGAGATAAAACAGAGTCAGTGGTAGAGTCGTGTTCAGCTCAACTCTGACGTGTCTCACTTCCAGTTCCTGAAAATTGTGCACCAGAGCTTTGTTTCCCCAGAGTACCACTCACAACGCCTTCATTCCTACTAGAGACCACTGCAAATTTAATAAATATGACTGATTGACCTCTTTAAATGCAAAACTAAATGCAACCAGAAAAGCCTAAAGATGACCCAATAACTGATCAACTGTATCAGTGATTTGAAAATCCCACGTGTTGCTGGTTTACCAGCAGTGAGCTCTGGTATGTATATATAAAACATGATGTCTGTCAATTATTGTTTAGCTGAGTCAGTTTTGAGCCTCAGAACCAGAACCTCTAGTTTACATCTTGCGTATGTTAGTCCGTGCAGAATAAACTCTGATCATGTTTCTCTCTTCTCTCTTCAGCTTCCTCAAGGTAAAGGTGAGTTTATTCATCAGGTGATTCATTCCTTCCAAAAATCTAAAACATTTGAAAGTTCTAGAAAACTGAAGTTTGTGTCGCTATGAGGAGTCAGTTATTTCTGGTTGCCAAGGTAACCCACCTCCTGTGGTCGTGGTCCGTGGCAGAAGTGTTTGATCAGATACTGCTTCATCATGAATTTGTTCATATTATATTTATCAGGTTAAACTTCACAGAAATGAAAGACGAAAGAATTTAATCAGTAAATTCTACTTCTTTCTGCAGTTCATAAGAACCACACCTTCCCTTTGCACAAAAACCTGCCGCCCCGCCCGGAAATTCCCGGAGTTTATCCATACCAAGCTGACAGGTCTGTAAACCTCCGGTTTTTAAATAAATCCTATCTGTAGCTCCTCAGTTCTGGAGAACCACAGGCTTGTGTTCTTGGCTTGTTTTAGTTTAAAATAAGTGATGATATTTATTCATGCATTTGTTTATTTCCTTTATAATGAGGCCGTTTCTGATTCACATTGTATAATTTGCAACGTTTGTGAAAAAAGTTGTTTTAGACCAACACATCAAACTACTGAAGAAAATTAACTGTTTAAACTACAGCGTTCTTCATTGTGAGCCCTGCGGGACACCACTCACCAACAAAACCAAATGGATTCAATGTTGTAGAGGGTAAATGTTGTTGCTTTTAAGCTTAATATAGTACCTTTACTTATGACCAATAAGCTGTGATACTCTATATAAATATAGAATATCAACCTGCTTGGTCTGTGGATGTTTAATCAGAAGATTCTAGGATTCTTTGCTTTTTCAGGGATCAAACACACTCCGTCTCAATTCAGACAGAGTCAGGTTTATAAAAGATAAGAAATTAGTTTTTTAAACAAATAAAAACATGACAGGTTAACTAAGACGGCTGTGCTGGATGAATCTAAGTGGATGTGATGTGATGTGTGGTGATTTAATGGTGTGTGTTCATCAGAACCTTGTATCTAGAAGAACTGAGTTCTGGGTGAAAAGAATTTGATTTGCATTAAGCTATGAATTTGGTTCTTATCAAACCGGCATCAGACGCAATCTGTGTGTCTACCTCACCCTTTCTTTGGAGACCCTCTTTGCGGATCAGGAGGTCAGGGAGGTCGGATGACCGCTGAGCACCGAGGTTTGGTAGATTAACCGCAGCACCGACTCTCCAGTCCAGAGATGTTTCCGAGTCACAACAGATAGATTAAATCGTTTGCGTCTAGAAGGACTCTTAGGAAGTCGGAACTGTATCAGCTTTGTTCTGCAGGAACCGGTTTTTGACAGCTTGTCAAAAATGCTCTGGGTTAAAGAGGGTTCGCTCCGGATGGCCTGTCCGTAGCTTTCTCCAGAACTGACTCACCGTCAAGTGAGCTCTGTTTTAATATTCTCATTATGATTTCTTGGCCAACCAGGACGTGCCATTTGTAAGGGGTGTTAACAAGCAAACCTCAGAACATCACGCCTTCTTTCAGATGCAGGATGCTCCGATTTGTGGCTAAGAAAATGTCTGCGTCATGACGTTTAACTTAACTTTGATTTATCTCTAATGAACCTTGTGTCTGAGTGTGGATGATGATTACCTTGTCATATCAAACTGACCATCATATATATGAATCTTTCAATGTAATAATAACATTCATTTCAAACTTCAGTAATTCAAGCACAGATTAATCAAAACATTATAATTATTCATCAACCATTATTGTTCATTCCATTTCACAATTGATTAACTCATCTGAGCTGAAAATAGCCACTTTATTCAGAGAGTGAGCAATCCTGCTGTGATGTCAAAAGAAGGCTTTGTTTGGGAACACAGCCTGACATCTTGTTCCTCCTGAAATGCCAACAAGGCTGCAGTATCCTTCTGGGTTTGTAGGAAGCTAGGATGTAAAATCCACATTAGAGAATGGAATTTACAGATGACTGTTGGCACGTAGGTCGATCTGTAGGTGAAAACGGACCATTGCTAGATGTTACAATGTGTTTACAGCAAAAAATAAAATCATCCTTTTATTTCATCATCTCTGGATATTTTGGACTAAATAAGAGTTTAAACAGGTTTGTTTTGTCTGGTTTTGAACAGCTACCGACCAGAACACTCTTCGGCCTCTCTGCCCCCCACGCTGCCATCAGGTAAAAGTTCAGTTACTTTAGTCTGGGACCAAAACATATCTGATAAATATTTACTGTAAAAACTAATTAAATTCATGGATTGATTATATTTGGAGTTTGTCCAGAAAAAACTAAAATGTGTTAATAAACAATAATTGATGAAGCCTCTACTGTAAAATGCATGATAATGACTTTGATTAGACAACAATGGTTCTAAGATCAGCAGTAGAGCCCTCTCTAGAAACCGATGGTACTGAAGGCTGGAAAGTGCCAGTTTTAGTTATCGGTGCCTCCTGTAAACAAATCCATTAATGGAGCCAAAGATCATCCCCACCTGTTCATTTAATCCAACTTTTTCTTTCATCACCTTTTATGCTCGTTAAATCTGAGAACTCAGTTAACCAGTGGATTGTACAGAAACCAAATTATGCTTCCAGGATTCGAAAGGCTGACCCATCCTGCTGCTGCAACATCCACTGTGGTAACACACACACACACACACACACACACATGCACATGCACACACACACACCACACGCGCACACACACACGGTTCACCCCTGTGTGGTTACAGGATCTGGACTCCCGCTGGTACGTTGGGAAAGTGACCCGTGGTCAGGCTGAAGACTGTCTGAAGCAAGTTCATAAGGTACCAGAACCATATGATTCTCGTAAGCTGTTTGGGTTTTTTCTGAACCGACTTGGTGAAACCCATCCAGGTGTGTAGGTAAAGGTGGATAGAATAAATGAGCTTCAATGTGACTATCTGACCCTGTTCTTTGTTCAAAAAGTAGGTCATCTTTCATCATTTATATTTCCTCTAAGCCCCTCCCCTCACTTCTACACCTAAACCAATCATTTACCAGAGTCTAGAGCGTTGACCAATAGAGCTGTGTACCCACAAGAGGGAGCTGTCAACCAACCAGAATGTGTCCCAGCTCTGAGCACGCACTGTGGGGTGATGCACAGCATAGCAGACCTACCTAGCTTGAATGCTAACTTAACCTTCATTGAATTATTTGTGGGTTTGTAAACCTCAAGCTAACTGGATCAAGAGGGAGGAAAATGAAAAGGACTGATCTCTTGTGGGCTGCTGTAGCTTTAGCAACAAGGTTGAGTGCCAGATTCCTGCCGATTTTTAATTCAATTCAAAAATACTTTATTAATCCCAGAGGGAGATTGATTGCTGTATTAGCTCAGAATAATAATTATAATCAAGTCATCAAAGAGTTGTTGTATATTACAACGGCTGTTGGCAGGAAGGATCTCCAGTAGCGGTCAGTTTTGCAGCAAAACTGAAGAAGCCTCTGACTGAAGACACTCTTCCGTTGTCGGACAGTCTTGTGAAGAGAATGCTCAGGGTTGTCCATCATTTTCTTGATTATCTGGAGAATCCTTATTAGCATTATCTCCTCCAGTGGTTCCACAGTCGTCCCCAGAACAGAACCAGCCTTTTTATTAGGCTGTTGAGCCTTTTCAGGTCCCTGCTTCTGATGCTGCTACCCCAACAGACGATGGCTGAAGAGATTACACTCTCAGCAACAGACTTGTAGAAGATCTGCAGCATCTTGCTACAGACATTGAAGGACCTAAGCGTTCTCAAGAAGTGCAGTCTGCTGTGTCCCTTCTTGTAAACGGCTTCGCTGTTCTTTCTCCAGTCCAGTCTGTTGTCCAGGTGAACTCCAAGGTATTTGTATTCCTCAACCACCTCCACTTCTTCTCCCATGATGGAAACATTCTTCTGAAGTCTAAAATCATCTCCTTTATTTTGTTCACGTTCAAGGTCAGATGATTGTTTCCACACCATGCCACAAAGCCACCAGCTCTCTGTACTCAGCTTCCTGTCCGTCTCTGATACACCCGACAACTGCAGAGTCATCTGAGTATTTCTGTAGTTGACAGGTCTCTGAGTTGCACTGGAAGTCTGAGGTGTACAGGGTGAAAAGGAATGGTGACAGTACAGTCCCCTGTGGTGCTCCTGTGTTACTGATCGCCTGGTTTGATGTGCAGTTCTTCAGCCTCACAAACTGTGGTCTGTTTGTCAGGTAGTCTTTAATCCAGGCGATAGTTGAAGTCCCCACCTGTGTCTTCTGGAGTTTCTGGCAAAGTACATTAGGCTGGATTGTGTTAAATGCACTGGAGAAATCAAAGAACATGACCCTCACAGTGCTGCCTGCTTTGTCCAGATGACAGTGGATTGGTTGAAGCAGCTGGATGATGGCATCTTCAACTCCAACTCCATGGCGATAAGCAAACTGCAGCGGGTCCTGATATGTTCTAGTTTGTGTCACACCCTGTCCTGTCTCCCCATTCTGTTCAGTCCTGTGTCCATGTTAATTGCTCCCACCTGCCTCTCGTCTCCCAATGACCCATGGTCCCAGCTCCTCCTGTATTGAAACCTGTTAGTCCATTTTGTCTGGTTGGTTTATTGTTTCGTTGTCCTGCGTGTCTCATTAAAACCCTTTAAATGTTCCTGTCTGCCTGCCTGTCTCCTTCCTCACCCGCGTGTGGATCCTCACCTCCATTTCACTCACCGGCACGCTTGTGACAGAATGAACCAACTGACAAAGGATCCAGCTGGGAGATTCTCCCATGGGAGTGCTTGCTCCAATTCCTGATCTCCAACCACCAGCCGGCTTCTCCTCCACCTGCGTCGCCTCGCCGCAGACGTCGCCGCCAAACTTCAGCCTCGGCGGTCCTCTCCACCCTCCCGGAGCCGGATGGAGACTTGGACGGGGAGGCGCAGATGGACCGCTCCTGCTATGTGGGCACCAGACTGGCTGTGTGCTCCCACAGCGTTGGGAAGGATGCCAGGCTCCGCCGTCACCCCTTGTCCCAGGACGGGGCCGCGAGCTCGCCGCTGCCCCGGCTCAGCGCGCCAGCTTGGACCCACCCCCAGTCAGACCAGCAGTCCCGTCTCCGGTCCAATCAGCACCTCCGTCATCACCAGGCGGAGGAACCATGCCTACAGCCCAGCTGACAGAGCTTGCCGGTCTCCAGGCGGAGCTTGGCCGGATCCGTCAGCTCGTCAGCCTCCAGGAGTCCCAGCTGGACACCCTATCCTCCCCGAATCACCAGGAGAAGGTGTCGGTCCAGTCAGCAGCTCCCTCGTCTCCAGGCCAAAGGATTAAGCCTGCAGTCCACTCAGCAGAGCTTGCCGGTCTCCGAGCTGAGCTGGCCCAACTCCATCAGAGCCTCAGTCTCCAGGAGCTCCAGCTGGACACTCTATCCTCCCTGCTCTACCAGTTCCCGGCGCCACCAGTTCAGTCCGCTCCAGTCCCAGCGGTGAACCAAGAGGCTCTTCCCCCGGGCCGACCAGTCCAGAAGTCGGAAGCCCCTCATGCAGCGGCTCCGCCTCCACTCCAGACGTCGACGGTTCCAGTCCAGAAGTTGACAGTTCTGGTCCAGACGTCGACGGTTCCAGTCCAGAAGTCGGCGGTTCCGGCCCAGAAGTCGGCGGTCCAGAAGTCAGCAGTTCAGAAGTTGGCGGTCCAGAAGCCGGCGTCGGCGGTCCAGAAGCCGGCGTCGGCGGTCCAGAAGCCGGCGCCTCCGGACCAGAAGCCGGCGGTCCAGGTCCAGAAGTCGGCGGTCCAGGTCCAGAAGCCGACGGTCCAGAAGCCGATACCCCCGGACCAGAAGTCGACGCCCCCGGACCAGAAGTCGACGGTCCAGAAGCCGACGGTCCAGAAGTCGACGGTCCAGAAGCCGATGGTCCAGAAGCCGACGGTCCAGAAGCCGATGCCCCCGGACCAGAAGTCGACGCCCCCGGACCAGAAGTCGACGGTCCAGAAGCCGACGGTCCAGAAGTCGACGGTCCAGAAGCCGATGGTCCAGAAGCCGACGGTCCAGAAGCCGACGCCCCCGGACCAGAAGTCGACGGCTACGGACCAGAAGTCGATGGAGGTCGATGCCCCAGTCCGGTGGTCGACACCCTTTCCAGTCCTGAGGTCGACGCTCTCTCCAGTCCAGAGGTCGACGCTCCTTTGTATCCAGAGGTCGACGCTCCCTCGTGTCCAGAGGTCGACGCTCGCTCGTGTCCAGAGGTCGACGCTCTTTCCAGTCCAGAGGTCGACGCTCCTTCGTGTCCAGAGGTCGACACTCCCTCGTATCCAGAGGTCGACTTTCGTTCGTGTCCAGACGTCGACTGTCGTTCGTGTCCAGAGGTCAACGCTCCCTCGTGTCCTGAGGTCGACGCTCCCTCGTGCCCAGAGGTTGACGCTCCCTCGTGTCCAGAGGTCAACGCTCCCTCGTGTCCAGAGGTCGATGCTCCCTCGTGTCCAGAGGTCGACGTTCCCTCGTGTCCAGAGGTCGATGCTCCCTCGTGTCCAGAGGTCGACGCTCCCTCGTGTCCAGAGGTCGACGCTCCCTCATGTCCAGAGGTCGACGCTCGCTCGTGTCCAGAGGTCGACGCTCTTTCCAGTCCAGAGGTCGACGCTCCTTCGTGTCCAGAGGTCGACACTCCCTCGTATCCAGAGGTCGACTGTCGTTCGTGTCCAGACGTCGACTGTCGTTCGTGTCCAGACGTCGACTGTCGTTCGTGTCCAGAGGTCAACGCTCCCTCGTGTCCTGAGGTCGACGCTCCCTCGTGTCCAGAGGTCGACGTTCCCTCGTGTCCAGAGGTTGACGGTCCCTCGTGTCCAGAGGTTGACGGTCCCTCGTGTCCAGAGGTCGATGCTCCCTCGTGTCCAGAGGTCGACGTTCCCTCGTGTCCAGCGGTCGGCGTTCCCTCCAGTCCAGAGGTCGGTGTTCCCTCCAGTCCAGTGGTCGACGCCAACTCCAGTCCAGTGGTTGACGCCGTCTCCAGTCCATTGGTCGACGCCGTCTCCAGTCCAGTGGTCGACGCCGTCTCCAGTCCCGTGGTCGACACTGTCTCCAGTCCCGTGGTCGACGCCGTCTCTAGTCCAGTGGTCGACGCTGTCTTCAGTCCATTGGTCGACGCCGTCTCCAGTCCAGTGGTCGACGCCGTTTCCAGTCCCGTGGTCGACGCCGTCTCCAGTCCCGTGGTCGACGCTGTCTCCAGTCCAGTGGTCGACGCCGTCGCCAGTCCAGTGGTCGACACCGTCTCCAGTCCCGTGGTCGACGCCGTCTCCAGTCCCGTGGTCGACGCTGTCTCCAGTCCAGTGGTCGACGCCGTCACCAGTCCAGTGGTCGACACCATCTCCAGTCCCGTGGTCGACACGGTCTCCAATCCCGTGGTCGACGCCGTCTCCAGTCCAGTGGTCGACGCCATCTCCAGTCCCGTGGTCGACGCCGTCTCCAGTCCTGTGGTCGACGCCGTCTGCAGTCCCGTGGTCGACGCCGTCTCCAGTTCCGTGGTCGACACGGTCTCCAGTCCCATGGTCGATGCCATCTGCAGTCCCATGGTCGACACCGTCTCCAGTCCCGTGGTGGATGCCGCCGTCTCCAGTCCAGTGGTCGACGCTGCCGTCCCCAGCCCAGTGGTGGACGCCGCCGCCTCCAGCCCAGTGGTCGACGCTGCCGCCTCCAGCCCAGAGGTCGACGACGCCGCCTCCAGCCCAGGGGCCGACAACACCGCCTCCAGCCCAGAGGCCGACGACGACGCCTCCAGCCCTGAGTTTGTCGCCGCCACCTCCAGCCCTGAGGTCGTCGCCGCCGCCTCTAGGCCAGAAGTCAAAGACATGTCCTCTG